GTGAAGGCGTGGCAAAGCCTGGCAGCTAGACTCTGACCCTGCAGCTGAGTTGTCTAACCTCAGTTGTGTGCTGTGAAATGTACATTCCTTTCATGATCACATACAGACACACAATAATGCATTTTTTTTTTTTTTTTTTACAAAAGGCCCAGATAGGTAAAGGCTCATTTGGCAAAGGTTTTTGCTGCTGAGCCTGAGGTAGTGGCTTGGATTCCTGAACCCCCATGGTTGAAGGAAGAGAACTGACACATAATAAAAAAGTGCTCACAGCAGATTGACCGGATGTTAGCTGTTGTTTTCTTCCAGGTCTGCTGACTATATTTATATAGCTTTGCATGTATTGAGCTAAGGTCTCATAGTCCAACCTAGCCTCAAAGTCATGTAAGAAGGGAATAGCCTTGACTTCCAGATCCTTCTGCCTGTAGAAGATTGCAGTTTAAAAGGGGCCTTTTAGGCCAGGAGTGGTGGCACACACCTTTAATCCTAATATTTGAGGCAGAGGCAGGCAGATCTTTGTGAGTTCTGGGCCAGCCTGGTCTCCATAATGAGTTCCAGGACAGCTAGAGCTACATAAGACCCTGTTTTAAAAAAACAAAACTCGTTGCACTCCATTAGAGGCCAGCCTGGTCTACAGAGCGAGTTCCAGAACAGCCACACAGAGAAACCTTGTCTCAAAACAAAACCAAGGTGTGTACACCACACACTTTTGTGTGGGGTGAGGAAATAGCTCAATTGCAAAAACCTGAAGAACTGAGTTCCATCACCAGAGTCTAGGCATGGTAGCAGGTGCAGACGGGGCAATCCCTGAGACCCTCGGCAGCCAGCCTCAGGCCAGAGACCTTGTCTCAAAAACTAAGGTGGGGTGGTCCTGAGGAACAATATTGAAGGTTGCCCTCTGACCTCAAGAGATCACACATAGGCATAGACATCCATACACACGTGAATATCCAGCCACACATGAGGGACTGGGTGGGGCTGGGGATGTGATTTAATGGTAAAGGGTTTATTTACACTGACACACAAAGCTCTGAAATTGATCCCCAGCACCCCAAGTTTAAAGTGAGGTGTGCTGGTACATGCTCAGAATCCCTGTATTACTAGGATTATGGCTCAGCTGGTAGAGCAATTCCCTGGCATGCATATTGAACACTGTATAAGCTGAGTTTGGTTTATAATCTCCGCACTTGAGGCAGGATGGTCAGGTCTCAGTCATTTTGGCTACCTAGAGTTCTAGGCCGGTCTGGGACACATGAACTCCTCAGGTCCTCACCCTTTTTCTTAATGCCTGGCTGGAACTTGGTGCACTAGGAGTACTTCTTTGTTGATGAGCATTCTTTGCTCACCTAGGGTTGCAAGTGTGATGTGCTCCTGGGGCTTGAAGGCTGGGTAGAAAAGTGATCTGCTGACCTGTCCCTGTCCCCACAGTGTACAAGGCAGATGTGGCACGCCTAGTGTCGTGGCCAGACCCCACAGCAGAGTGGAAGTCTGTGGTTATCCTGGTGCCTGTACGACTGGGTGGTGAGACCCTTAACCCCGTGTATGTGCCCTGTGTGAAGGTAAGTGTCTCCCGGTGCACCTCTGCCTGGCGGCTCCACACTTAACAGTCGGGGTCAACCATGGGTGTCATTCTTTGGACCTGTGTGCTGTGTGTGTCTATGTAAATGTATGTGGTGTGTATATGCAGAAGTGAGAGAAGACACTCTGCTTTTTTTTGTGACAGGGTCTCTCACTAGCCTTGGAGCTGGGGTAGCAGCCAGCAGTCCTCATTTTTGCCCTGACAGTACCAGGTTACAGGCATGTATGGCTGTACCTTGGTTTCTACATAGGTACTAATGTTTTGAACTCATGTCCTTGTGTATGTCAGCAAGTGCTTTTATCCTTTGAGCTGTCTCCCCACTCCACCTTGTTTTATGAGACAATTATAGGCACATTCTACCATGCTTTTTGATAGAGGTTCTGGGGACCAAATGCAGGTCATGTATACAGCTGCAGCTGATCTGTTTACTATCCTGGGGGCTGGGATTCAAACCCAGTGAGATGAGCCAAATTCTGAGTGTGTTGGGTAGAGTGAACATTCTGTTTGAGAACAAGCTAGAATGTTCTGGCAGATTGGGGAAGGAGCTCAAGGTGGAGCTCTGTGCCAGGTTGCACACTCACACTTGAGTTTAATCCCCAGCAAGTAAATATATTTTATTAAAAACAGACCTGTCTTCCCGAATCCAAGCACTTGAGAGGCTGAGGCAGGAGGAGCTAGACTCAAAGGCCAAACTCAATTACTTAGCAAGTTCAAGGCCAGCCTAAGTTGTGAGGGAGGCCCCATTAACAAAAGTTTGACACTTGAGCCAGGTAGTTGTGGTCCACACCTTTAATTTCAGCTTTCAGGAGACAGAGGCAGGAGGATCTCTCTGAGTTCAGGACAACCAGGGCTACACAAAGAAACCCTGTCTAGAAAAACAAAACAAACAAAAAAGTTGGCATTTCAAAGGGCCGGGGGTGGTTCCAGTAGAGCCAGAGGAAATTCCCTCCTTGGCCTTCTAGAAGTTAACTGAGGAGCTAGAGAAATCTCTCAGGGAAAGGGGACAGCATGACAGGCTCAACCAGAAAGCCCCTGGCGTGTTTGCACTCAAGATAACCAAGTTCTTTATGTAAGATGAAGGCACCATTTCATCTGTCACTTTCACCCCTCTGTACTGTTCATTCCCAGCTACATTGACCAGTGTGGTGTTTGCACAACATTCTTTTGTTTTGTTTTTTCAAGACAGGGTTTCTCTGTAGCTTTGGAGCTTGTCCTGGAACTAGCTCTTGTAGTCCAGGCTGGCCTCGAACTCAAAGATCCACCTGCCTGTCTCCTGAGTGCTGGGATTAAAGGTACGTACCACCATTGCCTGGCTTGCACAACATTCTTGCTCAAAGGCCTTCACGGGAATCTCCACACACACAAACCCAGCCCTGCTAGCTCTTTGCTTGTCTAACAGTGCTGGCTGTGTAGAGCACTTTAGGATTTGCAAGGCCAGGCTTTCCTCCCAGCACTGAAGTAAATCGATAAAACTTGGTGTGGGGTCCTGTCATATTCCTGTAGTCCTGGAGGCTGAGACAAGAAAATCTAGTGCTGAAGGCCAGTCTGGTCTCCACAGGGAAACCGACTCAAGATCTGTCTGTCCCCTTGCTATACTCCTTGTACTATAGGTAGTATTTGGAAGGTAGTGGATGCAAGGAGGAGGATCAGAAGTTTAAGGCAAGCCTGGCTATAATGAGTCTATCTTAAAAAAAAAAAAAGTTTTGGGCAGTGGTGGCGCACACCTTTAATCCTAGCACTCGGAAGGCAGAGGCAGGCAGATCTCTGTGAGTTCGAGGCCAGCCTGGTCTACAAGAGCTAGTTCCAGGACAAGCTCCAAAGCTACAGAGAAACACTGTCTCGAAAAACCAATAATAATAATTCATAACAATGACAAACTTATAGTTATGAAGTAGCAATGAAAATAATTCTATGGTTGGGGAGCTTGAGGGACTGTATTAAAGGGTCGCAGCATTAGGAAGGTTGAGAACCACTGGGTTAGACATGGCTCAGTGGTGAGGAGGGAACATTGCTCGTGGAAAGGACCAGGGTTTGATTTATAGCACACATAATCTATCACCCTCTTTTTCACACACTGCACTAAGGTGCACAACCAATGTACAGAAAGACACATATACAGGCTCACCAGCACTTGGGAGGCAGAGGCAGATAGATAGATGTCTGCGTTTGAGGCCAGCCTGGTCTACACAGCAGGTTCCAGAATAGTGAGGACTACATAGTGAAACCCTCTTAGAAAAACAGAAATGAAAAACCTGTTAAGGTACGTAGCCCTTCCTATAGTCTTCACTTCTGGCAGCTAAGTTTCTGTTGTAGAATGTCAGTGCCATTAGGCTAGTTTGTTTAGCATGGTGGCCACTCAATGAGTCCCCTGGCTTTGTAGCCGCCTAGACCGGCTCAGTTTGCTGAACCCATTTGAGGCCAGCTATCTTCTCTCTACAGGAGCTTCTGCGGTCAGAATTCTGCCTGGGCATCATGGGGGGCAAGCCCCGGCATTCACTGTACTTCATTGGCTACCAGGGTAAGTCATGGCACCTTTTCGGGGTCACAGCCTTCTGCCTTCCTTTTCCCCACCCCAGTTTACATTTGCTCCTCCTCAACCTCCCCCACAGATGACTTCCTGCTCTACTTGGATCCCCACTACTGCCAGCCTACTGTGGACGTCAGCCAGGCTGACTTTCCCCTTGAGGTGAGCTGGTGGCTTTGGGTGGGAGCTGCAGGCAGTCACAAAACTTGGGTACCTCAAACCTCTCCCATCTGCCCAGTCCTTTCACTGCACCTCACCTCGCAAGATGGCCTTTGCCAAGATGGACCCCAGCTGTACTGTAGGGTTCTACGCTGGGAACAGGAAGGAGTTTGAGACTCTCTGCTCAGAGCTGATGAGGGTAAGCTATAATTGTGGGGTTGTCTTAGCAGTGGAGTCCCTGGCCTACCGTGTGCTGACAAACACATGGTTCTGGGACAGTAACATATTGCCTGTGCTTGACATCAAGGTTCTTTTGTCCACCACCAAGAAGCTCAGCCCAGAATAGATAAGATCAAAATGAAGGGTGCCTGAAAAGCTTGGGTCATTGCTGGGGGTGGGGGTAGGGTACCTGGGTGCTCATCATAAGTTCCAGGGCAGCTGTTCATAGGCTGAGCAGTTAGTTGTGCATTGTTCAGTTGCTGCAGCTGATTCTGGATGACCCTGAACTGAGACTGCTCTCTTTCATCCTGCAGATCCTCAGCTCCTCCTCAGCCACAGAGCGATACCCCATGTTCACTGTGGCTGAGGGCCACGCTCAGGACCACAGCCTGGATGCCCTCTGCACCCAGCTCTCACAGCCCACATTGCGGCTGCCTTGCACAGGACGCCTCCTGAAGGCCAAACGGCCCAGCTCTGAGGACTTTGTGTTTTTATAGTGGGAAGGGATGGGGAAAGATGCCAGACTATTTATTTTTTTATTTATGTCATGTCAGGTATGGGATCTGGAACTCCGATGGCAGTGCTGGATTCCCTGTCCTCATGTCCCCCATCCTCCCCAACACAGCTGAGACCTGTCTAGGCCCCCAGGTTGGGGCTGTGCCCTTTAGCTGCCCCCAACCCCCCTCAGGAGTTCCAGGGCACTCACTCAGGGCCTGACTCAAGTTCTGTAGGCTGCACTGGATCACTGTACTCACTGGTCCCAAAGCCCCTGTCCTGGAGAACCCACTGACTGCTGGGTGGAAGCTGATAAAGATGCAGACTTGAACACGCTGGGATTGCTGGACTTTTCAGGCTGTCTTGTACACAGCTCCAACAGCCTGTTCCACACTGAGAAGAGACAGTCAGCATCCTCGCCTGCAGGCATTTACACAGGTTTGGGACACTTGGTTGTGGAGGTAACCTGTGGCCCTCATGGGTGGCTCTGCTGTTTCCTCCTTTGGCGACCCAACTGGCGGAAGTGCAGCCTTTTGGGGTTGAGACCAAAGGCCTGCAATCTCTGTCGGCTGAACTTGTGACCTCCGAGTGTCACGGTGGGACCCAGCAGCCTGGCCTTCTTGTTCTTCTGCCTCTGGAAAGCTGGCTTCTCTGGGCTGGCTGTGTGTGCCGGCTCCTTGGCTACCTGGCTCTCAGACTGGGGCCTCTTCCCACAGGTTCCATCAGGCACGGGCAGCTGTTCCTGTGGGTTGGCCTTGCCCTGTGACTTCCCTGTGGCTTCTGTGGGCATGTCTGTCCTATAGGAGAAAAAGTCAAAGTTCAGGTCAGCTTGCTGTTCAAAACAGGCAATGATCCCCCACTTTTTCATTGTTTTTTTGAGGCTAGCCTCAAACTCTGCGTACTGAAAGATGCCCTTTAACTTCTGATCCTGCTTTTTTTTTTGGGGGGGGGATAAGGGTGAGGTGTTGAGTCGGTCTCACTAATATAGCTCTGGCTGTTCCAGAGCTCACTACTGTAGACCACACCACTGGCCTTGAACACAAATCCTTCTGGCTTATACAGTGCTGGGATAGAGCTTTCTACTGTCAAGTAACCCTTCCCCAGCCCATAGTATCACTATGGAACCCGGATGGCCTCAGCTTCCTGAGACACCTGTCATAAATACGACAGCTACAAATTAGCTGGACTAGCTGAAGCCATTTATGTTAGTCAGCTCCTTGTAACTTAAGTGCAGTAAGAGTGTATCTCAACTGAGTCCAGTAAGGAATGACAATCATCCTTATAACAGCTAACAAGCCTGTAAGGTGCTTCTAAGAATTATTCTGTTCAGGCTTTGGATGAAACTCAGGACTTCAATCATGCTAAACAGTCTCACCAGAAGTGATGGCATACACCTCCAATCCTAGCACTTGTGAGGCAGAGGGAAATCTCTTGAGTTTGAGACCATCCTGATCTACATAGGGAATGCCAAAGACAACCAGTCTTTAATGAAATAAGCACAATCTTCACCCCATAATGACAGGCTGTTGTTGTGGAGTCGGGCTTGCTTCAACTCATAAACCCTGCCTTTGCCTCCCTAGTGTTAGGACTATAGGTGTGCACCACGTGTCCAGTCCACTGATCCTTATTCTGAGTGTGTCATGCATGAGCACAATCTGTGGACCATAAAATGACCTTACTGAGAGGAACAGTAATGGTCTTAAGATGCCACAGCTGGGTGTCAGCTGGCCAGGCTTGCTACCATCCTCCCAAGGCCCATGCTTACTCTTCCTGGCACAGTGATTTGAAGATCTGTCTCTTCTTCCATACGTTCTGGGCCTTCTGGTTGTACGCCCGCTTCTCCTGCATCTCTTCCTGCTCTGACCTGTGGGTCAGGGGTGTTCCAGAAGCTATCCAGACTGGAGGGCTCCCCCACCCCCATCACCCTGCTGTCACCTGTACATGCAGGTCTTCTTTAGGGAACACCAGCGATTCAGTTCCTTGTCATCAGCTGCAAGGATCTGCATGACAAAGGTGTTTGCTATGTGGTTCTGGGGTCTGCCTCGAGCCTGAGCCTCAGTCGCTCAGAGTTGGGGACAATTGAGTTTAGTGTTTTCCCTGTTTTTGAGGCAGGGTCTCATGTAGCTCAAGCTGGTCTTGGATTTCCTGATTCTCCTCCTGCTTGTACCACCATGCCGGCTCTTTTTTTGAAAGTCACTACACAGCTCAGGCTAGCTTGTAATTCACCATAGTGCCCTACCCACCTCACCCTCTCTAGTGCTGGCCTTCATTAGCACTATTTAACTCTTCTTAGTTGAAGTCCAGACCCTGCCTCTCCACAGTAAATATTCACCTCCCATTCTTTGGGCTCCTCTACTTAACCTGGCAGCCCTGGTTCTAACCTCCTCGGTGCTGAGCCCAAAGTCACAGGGCACCACAGTGCGGTACTTGAAGCGACAAGGCATGTCGTCGATGATGTCCTCATAGTCCAGCCGGTAGTATTCATCCAGGTACTCCTCAAAAGTCTTGTCCCCTGCACAGAAGATACAGCCAGGGTGTTGAATGTTCAAGGCCCTGACAGCCATGCTCTCATGCTGCCCGTCATGCCTTGTACCTTACCAGGATCAAACATGGGTTTCTGCTGCCCCACTGCAGCTGCAAAGGGGGATTTGCGCTTCTTCTTGCCTGTGGAGGGGGCCTCACGAAGCTTCTTCCGAGGTTGTCTGGGGTCATAGTCAGCGTCCATCTGTCAGGAAGCGCTGGTCATATCAGGCCAGTCCTAAACACCCTGTGGAGGCTCCATATCCACCTGGGACCCTCACTATTCTTAATGTCTCACAGCCAATGCGGGCCTCAAACATGCTATGCAGCCAGCCTTGCACTCAGTCTCAGAGGCTGGGATGGAGCACAGGGTCGTGGAAATCTGCTCTGCCAACTGCACCCTACTTGGACCTCAGATCAGTGGCACTTACATTAAAGTCAGGGTCCTCACAGTGCAGCCCCTGCTGACTCCAGCCTCCGTCTTGTTCAGGTCCATCCCATGTGTCCCAGTTCCAGTCATCTGGTTCCACAGAAGGCAAAGTAAGGACAGCACATAGGTTACATACCGAGCCCTGGTCCCCTAGCTTTGTAAGGACACGCACCTTCGAGGCCTTCTTCTTCCTCAAACTGTGGCTTCTCTTCCTCCACCGTGCCATAGAAGGCATCTCCAAAGCATTTCTGCAAGGGAAGGCCAGGCCTAAGACAGCAGAACCCACACACTTGCAGCTCAGCTTCTCCATGCCAACGCTAGCATAGCTGACCGGTCTGCTGTTTGGTTTTAGAAGACAGGGTTTCATGTAGGCCAAGTTGGCCTACACTGACTATGTAGTAGAGGCTAGCCTTGACACTGTGATCCACTTGCCCCACCTCCTGAGTGCAGGGATTACAGGTATATGAATGGTAGTTTTTTGCTTTTACTGAGACAGTCTTTTAACCCAGGCTGGTGATCCTTCTGTTTCAGATTCCTAAGTGCTAGGATTATAAACTCATGCCCAACTTGTGTTGCTCCTGAGCCTCCCAAGACTTAGCTCCTTGAAAAGGTCTCCTGTGGGCTCGAACCCTCCACATGGCCACCTGTTGTCTAGGTTGCATTTCACACAACTATACTGTGTTCTAGCTCTGCAGGACTCAACCCTGTCATCTGTGCCCATCACCTGTGACCAAGTCATTAGTCAGGACACAGTTGAGCTGCCATCATCCAAGATCCCACCTATACAAGATAGGGTACACACCTATACTTAGCATTAAGGAGGCTAGCCTAGGCTACAGTATGGTAGGCATGGTGGCACACACCTATAACCCTGAGAAGCAGGGGCAGGAGGTGGTAAGATGGAGGCCAGCCTGGATATGTGGTGAGACTCTTTTCTCAGAACAACAAAAGGAAGACATTCTGATAATATGTCCATGACTCAAACTCCTATGCTCCTTGCACCATGACATCAGACTGACAGAACTGTGACCATTTTCTGTATCTGTGACACTGTCTGGAGCGCTCCTGATAGCCAACAGGTGGTGACTGTTATAGGGAGTTGTAGGCTCCCAGCCCCAGTCACCAAGAAAACAACTGACTGCACGTGCCATGTGCTAATCTGGGTCATTCATTAGTTTGGGTGGGTTTTTTTTTCACACCTCAATTTTTTTGGTACTTGGGGCTAGAACCCAAAGCTAGGGAGGGAGTTGCTCTACCATAATTATGCCCCAGACCCTCACTGGGAGACTGTAGGCAGGGTTCTACCACTGAACCATGCCCCTCCCTTCACATGCCAGATTTTATGTAGCCAGCCCGCTATGTATCCCAGGCATGCCTTGAAGTCATGCAGGAGCCTTATATGTAGCCCACCATTCCTCTCAGGCCAGCTCTTCCCGTCCTGTCCTTGGTCCAAGGCAGTGCTCCAGTAAGCCTTACATTAAAGCAAGGGAACGGTCCTGAGAGGTCAAGTCATTTCTTGAGAGCACATAGCCAGGTGCTCTCAAGTCCCACAAACAAGTTCCCGAGCAGTCATACCTGCATGAGCTGGTCATGCTGGGCAGGGTCAAAGTCATCCTCCAGGTCCTGCTCCTCAAGGCCCAGTGTCTCGTTGCCAGTGACCTGCCGCAGCTTCTCCAGCTTGGCCAGAATCTCCTTCCTCTTTAGGTTCTTTAACTGTTTCAGCTCCTCCTGCTTCCTGGCCTTCTCCTGTGGGACAAAGAAGCTCAGCATTCCTGAGAGGCAGAACCTTGCAAATGGGGCCTCCCAATACAAGCAGTTTCCCATTTTCTTTGAGACAGGGTCTCAGGTAGCTCAGGCTGACCTTGAACTAGGGATACTCCTGCCTCCAGGTCCTGAGCTCTGAGAAGACAGGCATTGAATGCCATGCCTGGTCCTGCAGGGATCCCTTCAGTGCTTAGGCAAAAGCTGATGCTTTGTGCACACTAGTGTTCTAGCCACTGAGTAGCTGAAGATGGCATAGAACGCTTTCTGTAGACCAGGCTGACCTTGTGGTGACCTGCCTCTGCCTCCCAGTACTGGCAATACAGGTGAATATCACCATGCCAGCTTAGTTTTACTATTTATTTTATTATTTTGACATAGCCCATTATAACCTAAAACTCAAGAGATTCTCCTGCTTCTGCATCCTGCATGTTGGGATTAAACGTGTGCATCACCAGCTTCTTTTTCTTCTGTAACTATGTTCCCCAGGTTGGCCTTGAACTCTCGACTTAGCTGGGGCAGGCCCAAAATTTTCAGTATCTGTGCCTTGGCTCTGGAGGGCTGGGAATCTCTGGCACACACTGCCACAACTAGCCACACTCACCCTCTTCTTCCGCTCCCTAGTCTCTTCCCTCTTCTCCTTCCTGCGCTCATCCTTGCGACGCACAGATGATGCAATGCTGCGTGGGTACGTCTTGACCTGTGGGCAGGAGAGGAGCTCAGAGGGACTTCAGTGATCATATGGGGCTGAAGCTCCAGACCCTTGGGCAGCCATGTCCTCCCTGACCCAGGTCTTGGCACACACCGAGGCTGAGTCAGGCTCCTCAAAGCGGAAGTTGTACTTGTGTTCAAAGTCTTCCTGCTTCTTCAGGAATAGCTCCCCTTCATCCGAGGAGTCGTCCACTGCCAGCTGGACTGGGGGTCCGGGAACCCTGAAGGATATGATGGAGTTGTAAGGCTCAGGAACACCAAAGATCCTGGGTCAGACACTAACTTGTTTTATCACAAGAACTCTACAACGAACGGGCTGGTGAGCTGATTCAGCAGGTGTGTGCTGACAAGCCCTAGAGCCTGAGTTCCATCTGATGGAACCACACAATGGAAGGAGGGAACAGACTTCCACGAGTGAAGCCCTACCCCTGTAAATACATAAATGTAATGAAGAAATTAGAAATAATAATTTAAGAAAAGCCAGGCAGGGGGCTGGAGAGATGGCTCAGTGGTTAAGAGCATTGCCTGCTCTTCCAAAGGTCCTGAGTTCAATTCCCGGCAACCACATGGTGGCTCACAACCATCTGTAATGAGGTCTGGTGCCCTCTTCTGGCCTGCAGACATACATGTAGATAGAATATTGTATACATAATAAATAAATAAACAGATATTTAAAAAAAAAAAAAAAAAAGAAAAGCCAGGCAGTTGGTGGCGCACGTCTTTAATCCCAGCAGTTGGGAGGCAGATACAGGCCGATCTCTGTGAGTTTGAGGCTAGCCTGATCTACAGAGAGAGCTCCAGGATAGCCAGGGCTACACAGAGAAACCTCTCAAAAAACAAACCAAAAAAACAAAACCCAAGCTCAGTGGAGATGCTGGAGAATAACTGAGGAACACGCTGAGAAGTGGCTGCTCACCCGTCCTCCATTTCTTCTTCCTCCTCCTCCTCTTCCTCCTCTTCGTATCGTTTGTTGAGAATATAATCCCTCAGGAATTGTTCCCCCTCATCCAGTTCTGGGTTGTTCCAGTATTCCTTGAGGTGTGTCTATGGGGAGAGAGGGTGTAACAAGCTCAGTACCTTGGGGAGGGACCTCAAGAACTGTACTTTGATAGTTGACCTAGAATAGATAGAGTAGCACCATTCTGTGCCTTTTTCCCGTTTTGGGATCAGCTCTTGCTGTGTAGCCCAGGCTGATTTTGCACTAACTGAAATCCTGTCTTAGCCTCCTGAGCACTGAGGTTACAGATGTGGACAACCATACCTGACCTACATTTTCCTCATTTTATTCACTAAGAAACCGAAGCACAGACACTGTTCATGTTCATCCTCAGCAAATGTCCTTTGTTTTTGGTGCTGGGGATGGAACCCAGGGGCTTGTGCATGCTAGGTAAGCACTACCCTTGAGCCATGACTAGCTGCTCACTGGAGGGTTCGGGGAAGATTCTCTACCACTGAGCCACACCCCAGTCCCTCAAGTGTCCTCAGGTATCTGGAAGTGGAGGGTGAGACAAAGCTGTATCAAGTAATTCGGCCCTGGGGACCACATCTGAGGACTCACCAGTTCTTTCAAGGACTCAGAGCTGCGGATCTCCTTTTGGCCCTTTAGCCACTCAACGTAGTCTACTTCCTCCTGGGCCTGTGGAAAGCCAGCAGTGAGCTCCTCAGGAGTCCAGCTACCCCGTCTCCAGTCCAGGCGTCCCAGCAGGTCCCAGGCACTAACCTTTTCTTCCCTACTCTTAGTGTGTTTCCGCAGCAAACCAGAGCCACCTTCCCCAGCGCTGTCCTCATCACTGCTGTCCTCCACGAAAGCTCGGAAGCTACACACGCCATGGAAGAGACTTCAGCACTGGTGCACGACCAGCCCTGAGCTCTGAGACGCTCAGTGACACTGCAGCAGCTGTCCTGTCCCCACCTTAGTGCCTGTGCCCGCAGCCACCAACCCCAACCCAAGCTCACCTTTCCTTCAATTGCTTTTGTTCTTCTATGTAGCTCTTTGTTGATGTTTCCTGCAGAGGAGGAATTGATGTGGGTCTCAAGCCCGCTATGAGCCCTCAAGCCCTCAGCCAGCCATTTTTCTACCCACCTTGAGCCTCTGGTCAAAAGTCTCCCCATCAGAGTTGTCCTCGTCAACATACTTGCTGTGCGGAGAACAGTACAGACTTCAGCATGCAGTGCTCAGGCACAGGAGCTCAACAATGTCTTGACTTCACAATGGCTTTACTAAGCATTGATATCTATTTAGTATCTCCTTTTCCCAAGGAAATATTTTATAAGTGAGTGTATGTATGTAATGTGTGTGCGTGCGTGTGTATGTGTGTGTAGGTACATTGCATGTACATGGCTGCAGAGGCTGTGTCAAAAACAATAGAAAAAAAAATAGAGAGCCATAAAGGATATATGTAGTCTTGACTGGCCCATGTAGACCATAGTAGCCTAGAGCTGACAGTCCCCTGCCTCTACTTCCAGAGCACTGTGATTGAAGGGCTGTGCCACCACACCCAGCCCTCCTCCACTATGTTATTCTGAGACAGCCTTTCTCATTGCTCACTGCTGCGAGGCTTGCTCCACCAAGCTCCTGCAATCCATAGGGGTGACAGGTACATGCTTGGCCATGCCCAACATTTAACGCAGCTGCTAGGGATCTGAACAAAGTCCTCTAGCTTTAATGTAAGTGTTCTAACCCAGAGTCATTTAGTCTATTGCACCCCTTGCTCCCAAGGCAGGGTTTTAGATTGTAGTTCTTCCTGGTCTGTAACTTGCTACCTGACTAGTCTGACCTCAAACTTATGACAACTCTCCTGCTTCTGTCTCTTGAGCGCTAGGGTTATAGGTATGTGTTCCAGAGACTGGCTAGAACTCTTTAGTTATAAATGCATTTTTACTTCACAATATTTTCCTTCCTTTTCTTTTTTTCCTATTTATTTAAACAATGTGAGGAGCAAACCAATAGTTTTGCACATGGAAGACAAAGCAGTCCACTGAGGCCTATGCCCCTGACCCTTGTATTTTTTAATATTTATTTATTTATTTATTTATTTATTATGTATACAATATTCTGTCTACATGTATGCCTGCAGGCCACAAGAGGGCACCAGACCCCATTACATTACAGATGGTCGTGAGCCACCATGTGGTTGCTGGGAATTGAACTCAGGACCTTTGGAAGAGCAGGCAATGTTCTTAACCACTGAGCCATCTCTGCAGCCCCTCGTATTTTTTTTTTAATTTTATTTTTTTAAATATATGTTTATTTATTATGTATACAGTGTTCTGCCTGTATGTGTGCCTGCATGCTAGAAGAGGGCACCAGATCTCATTAAAGATGGTTATGAGCCACCATGTGGTTGCTGGGAATTGAACTCAGGACCTCTGGTAAAGCAGGCAGTGCTCTTAACCTCTGAGCCATCTCTCCAGCCTCCCTCGTATTTTTTTAAAATAATTTATTTATTCTTTTTTATATTTATTTATTATGCATACAACATTCTGTCTGTGTGGATGCCTGAAGAGAGCACCAGACCTTGCTGAGCCATCTCTCCAGCCCCATTCTTAATTTTTTAATGTACATTAGTGCTTTGTCTGCATGTATATCTGTGCAAGGGTGTCAGATCTTGGAGTTACAGACAGTTGTTAGTTGCCATGTGGGTGCTGGGAATTGAACCCAGGTCCTCTGGAGAAGCAGTCAGTGCTCTTAACTGCTGAGCACCGACCCTCGTGTTTTTTAATATTACTTATGTATATGTGCATGTGTTTATATACTACATGTGTGTGGATGCCAGTACAGGTAAGAAGAGGGTGTTGGATCCCCTGGAGCTGGAACTACAGACAAGTGGTAGCTGCTTGATTTGGATTCTGGGAAGTGAACTTGTGTCCTCTAGAATAACAGCAAACACTCCTCACTTTCCCCACCCCAAAGGATCTCTCTCTGCAGCTCTGGCTGTCCTAGAACTCACTCTACAGACCAGGCTGACTTCAAACTCAAGAGATCCACCCGCCTCTGCCTCTTGAGTGCTAGATTTAATGGCGTGCATCAACAGTTTCTCTTTTTTTTTCTTTCTTTTTTTGCATCAACAGTTTCTGGAACATAAAGCACTCTTATTTGCTGGGTCATTTGTTGCTCCTTGCTCCTTTCGTCATGTGTATATGTGTGTCTGGTGGGGTTGTGTATGTAAGTGCAATGCTTGGGAAGGACAAAAGTGGAGGATCCCTTAGTGCTGGAGTCATAGATGGTTGTGATCTGCTTGGCCTGAGGATTAGGAACAAATCCTGGTCTTCTGGAAAAGACCTTCTCTCAGCTGGGAGGTGGTGGCACACACCTTTAATCCCAGCACTTGGAAGGCAGAGGCAGGAGGATCTCTGTGAGTTCGAGGTCAGCTTGGTCTACAGAGTGAGTTCCAGGCTCCAAAAGCTACAGAGAAACCCTGTCTCGAAAAACACAAAACAACAACAACAAAAAACAACAACAACAGAAAAGACCATCTCTCTAGCCTAAGACAAAAATTTTAATTTCAATTTATTTATTGTGTGTTTATGTGTGTATGCATGCCACATGTGCATGTGGGAGTCAGTTCAGGGACTGAAGTCAGGGTGTCAGGCTGGGCAGTAAGCACCATTACCAGGATGGCCTCAAACTCAACAGATCCATCTGCCTCTGACTCTCAAGTGCTGGGATTAAAGGCGTGCACCACCACAGCCTAGCTCTAAATTTTTATTTTTTGCTTTTTTATACCACATGCATTGGTGTTGTGCCTACATGTATGTCTATGTGAGGGTGTTGGATACCCTGGGACTGGAGTTAGAAACAGTTGGGAGCTGCCATGTGGGTGCAAGGAACTGAACCTGGATCCTCTGGAAGGTAATTCAGTGCTCTTAACCACTGAATCAGCTCTTGAGCCCCCTTCATCTTCCTACTTTTATCTCTTAAGTTCTTAAGAGTTGAGATCTCCATGTTTGACCTCAATCTTCAGTGATTTCTAATTGCAATGGGTTTAGCAGCACACAGACCTACATATATATTCTCGGTGGCCCTGCTGTCTCTGTCCCCATGCAGTGAGGAACTGCTCTGAGCTCCTGGTGGGAGGGACCTAAGACTGAGGGCAGGAACACTGAGGTTCTGCTCTAAGGGATTCCCCTTACTATGTAGCCTTGGGCTTTTCTTCTCTCTTTTTTTTTTGCAGACAGGCTCTCACTAGGTAGCCCTGGCTGGTCTAATATGAAGACCAGGCTGACATCAAACTAGCAGAGATCAGTCTGCCTCTGCCTCCCAAGCTCGGGGATTATATGCTGATGCCATCAAACCTGGAGACAGTGGGCTTTTCTACCTGTAAAACTCTAAATAATGGGCGAGTAAGATGGTTCTGCCTGGAAAGATATATCCTATGCAAGTCAGAGGACCTGAATTTGAGAACTGGGACCTACCCATATAAAGGCAGGAGAGAATGGACACCAGAGCTGTCCTCTGAGCTCCATATACATGCTGTGGGATGAGCACATGGGCCCACCCACTCTTCTCCCTACAATAATAATAAACAGTGAGAGCTGCCAAGATGGCTCAGCAGGTGAAGGCTTGCTTGTTTGTTTGGTTTTTGAGACAGGATTTCACTGTGTAGTCCTGGCTGTCCTAGAACAAACTGTGTAGACCAGGTTGGCCTCAAACTGATGAAAATCCACCTGCCTCTGCATCTTGAGTGCTGGAATTAAAGGTGTGCACCAGCAATGCCCAGCTCAGGCAAAGGCTCTTAATGCCAAACCTGCAGACTTGAGATTTGATCACTGGCACCCACATGGTGGAAGCAGAGAACAGACTCCAGAATTTGTCCAACTTGTACATGTACTATGGAAAATAAATAAATTCAGAATGTTAAATTGTGGGCTGGAGAGATGGTTCAGAAGCTAAGAGCACTGGCTGCTCTTCCAGAGGTCCTGATTCAACTCCCAGCACCCACATGGTGGCTCAAAACTGTCTATACCTCTGATTCCAGGGGATCTGGAATAAATTTAGGCAAAACACCAATGCACATAAAATAAAAAAAGAAAATTAAAAAGATCAGGCAGGGGGGCTGGAGAGATGGCTCAACGGTTAAGAGCATTGCCTGCTCTTCCAAAGGTCCTGAGTTCAATTCCCAGCAACCACATGGTGGTTCACAACCATCTGTAATGAGGTCTAGTGCCCTCTTCTGGCCTGCAGGCATACACGCACACAGAAACATAATAAATAAATGTTGTTTTAAAAAAAAAAAAAAAAAGATCAGGCAGAACTCATGAGGAAGGAACAAATGGATCTCTGAGTTTGAGGCCAGCCTGATGATCTACAGAGTGAGTTCCAGGACAGCCAGGGCTACACAGACAAACCCTGTCACAAAACAAAAAAATACCACAACCAACAACAAAAAACCACCATCAGCAAAACCACCCCAAAACACCTCATGGTCCCCAGAGAGCTGGCGGCTAACAGGTGGGCTGAGGGTCTCCTTACCCTTCCTTCTCTAAGATGACCTTCCTCTCGTAGTCCTTCAGGTACATGGGCTCTACTTTCTTCTGCTTGCCCGAGGCTGCTGGCTCCTCTTCACTCTCTGAAGATGAGGTTTCGGCTGTGGGCCAGTGAAAAGATACCAATTGTTGCCCTAACCGCCTCCTTCGCCAGGCAGAGAATCCCATCGGCAGGACTGGGAGCAGACATGCGTTCTGAATCCCTGCTAGTCACTTCCAATTGTAAAATAGTAAATCATCCTAATTCTACCCTTTATTTTTCCAAGGACAGAGTATAATGTAGCCCAGGCTAGACTAAAACTCACTATAGTTTTAGCCTAGCCTATACTAAGATTTTAGTACAAAAGAAAAAAACCCAATCAACCAAACAAAATCTTCAGGTGCAGATATAGCTAAATTGATATGCTTGCCTATCAAGTCCAAGGCTCTTTGTTCAATTTCAGTTATGTGGCACACACCTATTCAGTATTCTAGTATTCAGGAGGGTGGAGGCAGGGGGATCAGAAGTTCATTCACATTCTTGGTTAAATAATAAGTTAGAAGCTAGTCTAGGTTACATAAGAAATGATCTTTTTTTTTTTTTCTGGTTTTTCGAGACAGGGTTTCTCTGCAGTTTTGGAGATGTCCTAGAACCACCACTGCCCGGCTTGAGAAATGATCTTACAAAAAAATAAAAAAGCAGGCCGGGGGGTGGTGGCATATGCCTTTAATCCCAGCACTCAGGAGGCAGAGGCAGACAGATCTTTGTGAGTTCGAGCCCAGTCTGGCCTACAGGAGCTAGTTCCAAGACAGGCTCCAAAGCTTCAGAGAAACCCTGTCTCAAAATAGAAAGAAAGAAAGAAAAAAAGAAAGAGAGAGAGAGAGAGAGAGAGAGAGAGAGCGAGCGAGCAAGCATTTCTGGCCTGGTATTTTAGATTTATAAATTCATAGAGATAGCTTTTTTAAGTGCACGTGGATGCCAGAGGTCACCTTGCCCATGACATTCCTCAAATGCATCCACTCACTTTGCTTTGTTTGGTTTTTTCAAACAGGGTTTCTCAGTATAACCTGGCTGTCCTGGACTTACTCTGTAGACCAAAGTCACAGAAACCCGCCTGCCTCTGCCTCCCCAGTGATGGGATTATGGGCTATTCACTGCTACTGTGGTGTCTACCACCTCACTCAGGATGGGAAACAATTGAATTCCAACAACATTAGAGAAGCATTAAAGAAGCAGCCCCCTCCATACCTGTCCTCTGATAGAAGGTAGCATCTTTCTGGTAAATTCGGGGGTCCTTTTTCTTCAGCAAGGACAGAGTCCTGTAAAAGTCTCTCTCCTGCTGGGGGTCAAATTCCTAGAGCAGGAAAAGGAGTGGAGCTGACTTCAGAAGGAAGGCCAGCACAGCGTGAGTAGGGACTGTGAGGAGGGCAGATACAGCGGGGCCCATGGGGAGGAAAAGGAGTCCAGATGAAGAGAGGCAGGTATGGCGCTGAGTGCGTGTGGCCAGACAGAGGCCTGGGACAAGGAGGTATATCCTGAAAAGGACAGGGTGGACAACAGAGCAGGTGCACTGAGTGCTCTTGGGTGGACCACTAGAAGCCCACGATTAGAGCTGCTGTGGACAGACAGGGCTGTTCCCTGAGGAATGGGAAGAGTGGTCCCTAGGGGACAGAAGGGTTGGATCACTAATCAAGATGTGGGGTCAGTCTGTGACGATGGAGGATAAAGTGATCCTAAGTCATATCATAGGAGATGTGACAATCCCTAGGGATGGGTAAGGCACTGGCTGTCACTTAAGGGATGGGAGAGGTATCTTGGAACTGCCTTAGGACTCTACTGAGTTAGGGCAAGCTACCTCCTGCAAATTGATGGGCGGCCTGGAGTCAAGTAGTGAGGATTTGGTGTCTTCTAGACATGGGGCGGGTGCCCCATAAGGCCCTATGTGATTAAAGGGGCTATGTCCTTTTGAGGAGGTAGGATTTGGCAATTCCCTAGGTACAGGGAAAATGCTGCTTGTTACTCAAGGGACTGGGATGCAGGTCTTGGGATGTGCCCCTATGTGACCCTATGAGCGTAGGGCCAGACTCCCTCTGTGTATGGAAGTAGGAGTGCTGTGGGAGGCTTGAGGCTTGAAGCCAAGTTAGGAAAATAGGAAGATTTAGTGACTACTAGGAAGGGACTATCTGTCACTCAAGGGGTTAGAAGATAAATCTACTCTTAGGATATGGCACCCCAGCGAGAGTTCAGTGGGTGGGAGGTTTGAGATCTCTTCCAGAAAGAAGGGTGATTTCTGGGTTGGGGGAAAAGCCTGTCACTCAAAGGATGGAGGCGGGTCTTGAACGCTCCCAGACAACCCAGTCGGGTCAGGGAAAGCCCCAAGTACATCTAGGTAAGATGGGAAGCCTGGTGGCGGAACCTTACCACATGCTCGTCACTGGAGTCAGACTCTGAGCTGGAGTCGCCGCCGCCGTCCGGATCCCCATAGCGATCCTTCACTGTGGGGTACACACGGGTTCCCCACAACCACCATCACTTGATGCACTCTCCCCCAGGGCCCCACATCCCGCCCTGTGCAGGCGCCCCTCACTCACGCCGCTGCAGTTCCTCACGCTCCCGGTAACGGCTGTAGCGTGCGGCAAAAGCTGCGTTCACCCTCAGGGACGTAGTAGCGTGTGGTTCCGGCATGGCGGCTGTGCGGCCTAGTGCGCACGCGCGCAACCTCCCCTCCCCTCTCGGTGTGACCTCCTCCAGGCACGCCCACTGAGAACGTCTCTTAAAGGAGCAGGTCCCCGATAGACGAACCTTGCTCCACCCCCGACCCTTCCGGGATCCTGTTGGCCTTTGCTTTGCAGGCCACACCCACGGGCCAAGCCTCTGCGGGGAAAGGCCACAAGCCACCGCCCACCCTTCTCCACCCTGCCGGCTCCCGGCACCCAGCTGACATCTGGGGCCCCTTTCTCCCCTCGCGGTTTCCTGCCTCCCTTCCGTTCCGACAGCAGCCGACAGCTGCCCCACCCAGCTCAGTTACCCTGACGCCCTGGGAATGACCGTGTCGTCCCTTCGCCCCACAACTCCCACAGTCACGCCATCCCCCAGTTTCATCACACCCACCACACCCACGTCCTGAAACTCCGAATACCCCATCCCAGACTCCCAAATCAGAAGTCATTCTCACCGTCATCATGCCTAAGTCTTAAAGTATTGGGCCAAAACACTAAATGACCACACAAAAGTTTCTTTCCATAAAGCAATAAATATATATATTTCAAACTCTGTACAACAGACTGGAAAACAAACTTCCAAGAAAAAGATTAACACTCACAATTCTTTTAACTGATTCCAAATGTTTTCCCCTCCCCCCCAACGCCCAAAGTAGGTGGCTCACACTTCAGGTCTCTGTGCACAGCCTGCCAAGGTCACCAGCTTCCAGTAGTTCAGGAGGTGATGACCTCACTCTGAGGCTAGGGCTTTAAAGCTCTGCCCTGAGGTCTCTGCTGCGGGGTGCAGGAAAAACTGAACCGTTTAGGGGGCTGTTGCCTGTAGGAGCCCCTTCTCTGTCAAACACACCAAATGGGATGAGAAAAACAAAGAGAAACGTCCCCCAAACACACTCACTCAAGAAACCAACACCAATAAACCACAGACAGCTCCTCCCACTCCTTTCTTCAATGGAAGGAGTGAGGAGCGAAAGTTTCTTTCCTCCTTTTGTTGATTCTTAACCCAGTGAGGCTCCCTGGCTGGAGATAGTGACCCCGGGTCACACTGGGATCACCATGTGCCTCTGCAGGATGTCCATGAGGTTCTGAGCTCCTCTCTGCCGGGCCAACTCCAGGGGGGTGAGACCCGAAGCGTCCCTGTGATGGAGATCGGATTCGGGAGCTAGGAAGCTGACCACGGAGCTATGGCCCTCTCGTATCGCCAGATGGATGGGGAGCGAACCAGTGCCATCCAGGGCATTGACATCAGCACCATGCTCCACAAGGACCTTCAAGGTGTCCAGGAACCCAGTGCGAGCTGCATCATGCACTGGACTGGTACCAGAGGCATCCTGGACATTGGGGCTAGCACCTTGCTTCAGTAGTTCCAGAGCAACTGCTGGACTTCCAAACATCATGACCTGTGGGAGTAGGGAGCAGAAAGTTAGGAGGTTCCCACTGGAAACAGTCAGGCAGAGAGGTCTTCCAGAAATCCAGAATGCCAGTGAAGGGGTCCTTCAGTGAACAGGGACACCCCAGGAAAGACAGGACCCCCCACCCAGGGAGCTGTTAGGACCCGGATCACCCACACCTAAAGCTCAAAGACCCTAACTACAAAAGTGACTCTCATGAAACTTAAGGGGCCAGGCATAGTGATCACTCCTATAATCCCTGCACTTGGGAGGCCCAAACAGGAGGATAGCCTCAAATTTAAGGCCAGCCTGATATAGAGTGAGACCTCTCAGTAAAAAGTAATGAAGAAGAAACAAAAACAAAAAGAATAGAAAGGAAGGGGAATGGGGAAAGGAAGGGAAGATAAAAACTCTGAAGTAGCCAGGTGGTGGTGGCGCACGCCTTTAATCCCAGTATTTGGAAGGCAGATGCAGGTGGATCTCTGTGAGTTCGAGGCCAGTCTGGTCTACAGAGCAAATTCTAGGACAGTTTCCTAAGCTATCTTAGGAACACCATCTCGAAAAAGGCAAAACAAACAACAAAAACAACGACAAAAAGAAAACTCTGGAGGAACCAGGAGCCATTCTCAGGGACACGGCACTCCACTATGGGAGATCCTAGAACTGCTAAATCCCTCCAGGTAATGCAACCCCACCCGTTTTCTGAGAACTACTTAGAATTTTTGAGAAAAGAGATGCTCGAGGGAATTTGGATTCCCTTTGTCCAGGGAAAGCTTCTTTAGACATAGGCATGATCTTCAGAATGTATGAGCACCCATGTAAAAGTGGAACCCCCTATAAATGCCACCCCACATAGGGATTTTTTTTGTAACAGGGACACTCAGAAGATTGAAAAAAATCCACACCACCTTCAGAAATGAAGACTTCTCACCCCAAAATAACCTGAGACCCTTAAAAAGGACTCCTACAAAAAAATGGCTATCTCCTACTTTTCTAAGATCGAATGTCTTTTTAGAAGTCCCAAGAAATGAGCTGTCACCAAGGACTGGCATGAAAAGAAGCTGAACCCCAACCCACCCACGGAATAAAGGTCTGCAGCGAAACTGAATCTTCTAGACTTGAAGACTAGGAATTCTTTAGAGCTGAAAAGCCATCCCCTCCCCCACCCCACCCGGACCACCCCACCCAACATTGGTGCAAACAAGGAATGGTGCTCTCAGGGAATCACCAACCCGGGTCAGGAGACTAGGAAGGATGCGGTGTGGGAGTCGGCTGTCAGCCAGGCCTCACCTGCAAGGCCGTCTTGCCGAAGCGGTTCAGAGCGTCAGGATGCACCAGCTCCCGGTGCAGGAGGCGGCGCACCTCTTGCACGTCGCCACGGGCCGCTGCGCCACTCAGCCGGTCGCCGACGCGGACTTCTTCCAGAAGCATCGTGACACGGGTGGTCTGTGAAACCCACCCAGTGCCAAGCTCAGTCCAGGTCAAGGCTGAGGAACCAGCAAGGGCTGGATCAGAACACTAGGGCTTCCCTTCCCTGGGGCTGCTGAGCCACTGGGGCCTACTCAAGGTGATTCCCCGGCCGCAGACCCTTCGGTCCCGTACGACCCGGTTCTCGCACCCGGCTCCTCCTCCTGTCACCGTGAGAGGCGGCGAGGAACCCCGCCCAGCCCTTGGGCGCCCGCCCCTTGGGCCGGGTCTCCCCAGACTCACCCTCCCTCCTCGGCTTGGGCGGGCGTGGTCTGCTCCGAGCCGCTCTCACCGGCCGCTGCAGTCAGCCGTCAGTAGGCGAAGGAGCGCGTCACACGCCCCGCCTAGAGCGCCCTTGTTTTCTTACGAACTCGCAACACAGTAGCGGGAGCCGATTTGCCCAGCGCCCGACCTCCATAAGCCCCGCCTACCAGGGACTCAGCCAATCAGAGCTCGTTGCCGGGAAGGTTTGTCTCGCCCATAGAGGTGGTGCGCCTCGTGATTGGCCAGCGAGCGGCAACCGGTGGGGCTGCCCGCCACCGCAGGGTGTTTGGTTTTTCAAACCCGGCGGGCGGGAAAGAGAGGGAAGCTTTAACTGACCCCAGGAAAGAGGTTGGAGACAGGCTGGCGCGGGCTGATGCAGCGCCTCCGGGAGGAATGGAGGCAGGATTGGAAGCTCTCAGAACTGAAACGTTCTATTTATTTATATACCCCGGAAGTCCTAATGAGCTCTTACTATGGGTCGGGGAACTTAGTTCATTCATTTTACTGCTGTGCAAGAGGAACGGCCTCTTGGCCGTCAGGTGCGCGCCTCAAATATTTTTTTTGTTTGCTTTAAATTTATGAGACAGAGTCTCACTACGGCCCTGTCTGGCCTGGAACAACTCACAGATATCCGCCTGCCTCTACCATCCGTGCTGGGATTAAAGGAAGGGGCTTTTTGTTTAAAAAAAAAAAAAAAAAAGAAAGAAAGGGTCTTGGAGCTGGAGCCAGGCAGCAGTGGGGCCTTTAATCCCAGCACTTGGAAGGCAGGGGCAGGCGGATCTCTGAGTTCGAGGCCAATCTGGCCTACCATGTGAGTTCAAGACAGGCTCCAAAACTACACAGAGAAATCCTGTCTCAAAAAATCAAAAAGAAAAAAAAATCCAGGAAAACAAGACAGAAGACAAGTCTTATTCATTGAAAGACATCCTGTTCTTCCAGAGGACCCAAGTTTGGTTCCCAGCACCTACACCAGGCAGAGGCAAGAGGAGTGATGAAAGACTGGAGACAGTCAGACTATGTCTTTAAAAAAAAACAAAAACAAAACAACCAGCCGGGCAGTCGTGGCGCACACCTTTAATATCAGCCCTTGGGAGGCAGAAGCAGGTGAGTCTCCGTAAATTCAAGGCCAGTCCGGTCTACAAACCGAGTTCCAGGACAGCATAGACTTTTACACAGAGAGACCCTGTCTTGAAACACCCCCCCCCCAAAAAAAAATCAAAAGAAAAATATTATAAAATATGATGTCAGCCGAATGTAGGGTCCCTGGATGAGCAAACGCCCTGAGGTTCAAAGCGTGTGATGAGATGGAAAGGGAGAGTGGGAGGGTGGCACAGGTGGCGGCGGAGTGGTGTGCAAAACAGACCTGGGGTTATAGTAACCTTCCACTTTTAACAAGATGGGAAGGGCACCAGGGTTAAGTGGGCAATTATGGACAGGGATTTTAGAGTGACTTCTGGCCCCTACAGAGGGACCAGAGAGGGCTAAGGAATGAAGGGGAGGGTGCAGAGGAAGCGAGGTGGAAGATTGGCGAGTGGACACTTCCACCTAAGCACTTATGGTCAGTCTCAGTCCATAACCAAGAAGCACATCCACAGCTGTTAGATTTATTTCAATGACGCCTAAAGCTCAGATGGAGGGTCAGCAGGGCCAGCAGGGTTTCGGCTCAGCAGCCCAGAGCTGCTCAAGGCAGGTCATTGCAAGAAGGCACTCGTGGAAGGGGAAGGGCTGTTTGGCCCTCTACATGTAAAATCAGGATGAGAGAGCTCCAGTCTAGACAGCTGAGTTAGCGGTACCAGGTGCTGGCTGCCAGAATGTGTTGTCAGTGCCCTAACCCAGCATGAACACACACACATACACACACACCATCTCTCTACAGTCTGCAGTT